AATGCTAAATTTCTCCAAATCTGTTCCAATGAAGAAACAAACTCACTGACATCTTGGATGACCTGAGGGAGAGCGCATTTTTAGCAAATTTTCATTTTTGGGTGAACTATTTCTTTAACGAACCACTATAACAGCATCCATTTGAAAGTCTTCGACATAACTGTTAAAACCATGAAAGGATACATTGAGGAGCTTAACTCTTCCAGCTGAAGGGAAAAAGTGAACTTCATTAGACTGTCTGGACAACTGCATGAAAGAACTCATATTTCTGGATTTCATGACTAATTATTTAATATTGCTTTGCTTACATTTAATAACAGTTTATCCATGTTAGTGTCATAGGCGGACTTCCTCTGGTCTTCTGGCAACTCATCCACTTCTCCATACAGGTCGAATTGCAGACGAGCCAGTGTTTCCTGCATTTCTCTCACATGCTCCATCTGATCGATGGAGCACTCATTGCCTGATTCAGAGAAGATTCTGATTTCAATCAAAACTGTAAACACTTTAATATAGCTGCACTGTACTGTAAGAGCTTACCAAAGGCTTGTAATTTTCCAGAGTGGAAGTCATTAAGAAGGCTGAGCAGCCCCTTCTCCATCTCCTGAACATCAGACACATCTGTGAGAAACGAGTGCTGGATGCGGGCAGACTGGTTACTCTTACTCGACTGACTCTGAGGCCTTGGTTTGTCTCGCACTCCCCTAAAACCCAAAAACAAAATAAATAAATGAACCAAAATATGAAGAGTGAAATATGAAACCGCAATTTTAATAACTTACACAGATTTAATACGATGATAGATGACACTCACCTGCGATACTTTGTCCTCTGACTGGAGTGTGTGACCACACCACCTTTCTGCTCTGATCTGCTGCCGGATGTTGTCGTTTTCCGGGCAGTGATTGGGGGAGGAGGCTGGTTGGAAGACGGTTTTGGGCTTTTACGTTTCTTATTATTTTCCTCCATTGTGTCATCCAAATTACCTACAGAATAAAATAATACTTCTAAGCAGAGGAGCCTGAAAAGTTTCAAGTAATTTCAGTTTACATTAAGACCATATATTTGATGATGCCCTGCAAGCTTCAGTTTTGGTAACGTTACATAATCCAGAGGTTCCCAACCTTCTTGACTACAAACATTTTCCAAGACAACATTTAAAAGCCCCATATGTAGGCCAATATATTTCCAAACTTTGTATTTCTAGAAAGGGTGTTGATGACAGTACCATAATGAACCACAATTAGTTTGCATGACTCCAGAAGTTTCAAGAACTGTATGTTCGGCTATAAAAACAACAGTTATTGAGAGGATAAATTAAAAATAAATAAATAAA